AAAAAATAAAATAAAATATTAAAATCAAGATATATCTCGCAGCATTGCGTAAGTACACTTCTAGTATATATAAAATATATATATTAATGGCGGATTAGATGAGTGAAGTTGAGGGTATTTTGCATGCCTGTCAATTCCACGACGAGTTGGTGAAATACGCGGAATCCAAATCGAATTAAAACCAAAAAGAAATCTTATTCTAAGTCCGAGATATAAATACACCACCGCCATTGGTTTTCTGTCCCTTGCGGCTCTTTACCACACTGTTCCTCGTTTTCGCAAAAACCCTCGCCTAGGGTTTTTGGGAATCGATTAATTCACCATCTTATTAGGTTTCTCGTAACCTAACCGATTCATTCTATTTCGTATTTGGGATATGGATACTCGTAAGAGAGGGAGGCCTGAAGCTAAAGCCAATGGTGGTGCAAAAAGATCCAAGTCAGGTTGGTTCTTTATGCTCATTTATGTTCTTATATGTTTCATATGTATATATGTATGCGAGCTCTTTGATTTGATATTAGTTTGCTTTTATTTTGTTCATGCGTTTGCGATATGTTTTCTTGTCGTTTGAGCCGGAATGTTCTTGGGATTTAAAGCCTAATTTGTAAACGCAGTTTGATTTGGTGAATTTGGTTCTGTTGGAAGATGAATTTACTGTTCTGGATTAATCAATCCTTGCAAGCCTTTGAATTTGTAGGCGCATAGGTGCGATAGGATAACAGAGTATTATTGGTTCATAAGAGCATCAGTCCACAATGGTTGCCTTTTTGGGGGTTCTAACAAGAACTACCATGGTTGAAGGTTTTTGATTAGTGGCTTCATATAGGCAGTGGCGGAGCCAGGATTTCAAATTTTGAATCAGGGGAGCATGAGTATAAAAAATAAAATAAATTAGAAATACAAATACATATTAATTTTTTAAAATACCAAGCACAATGATTTATATTGATGAAACTACTAGTTGTGTACCCGCGCAATGCGGCGGGAACATGAATTTTAACGATTTTGAAGTTCCACTTGTTTTATAACATAAGATTTAACGATGATATAGGTTACACTTGGTCTTACATATTAATACAATTTGAATAAATAAGAGTTATGGTTCCAATTACAGACTATCGATGAAAAAAATTGTATGACAGTTTAAAATCCAATATATTTAAAATCCAGCATATTTAAACGAATCCACAAATGTATTCGATTTACACCAAGAGCAAAGAACCAAGAAATTTGAGTTTTAAGATAAACACTCAAAATCAATAAAGAAAACTACAAATTTGACAGATCATAARCCGTGAAAAGACAAAAAAAGATGGGTTTTAGAATGAAATTTCAACTGCTTACCCTCTTTGTTGTCCAGAAACTCAGATTAAGGTTGAATTAATACATGTATATATATATATATATATATTTCAAAAAAACCCAAGAACATATTAATTCAAAACATATTATACAGTGCAATTTGGACAGCCAAACCCCAAAATATATAGTATAATATATAAATAAATAACTATAAAAGTATAAATCATAAATATTAAAAATATTTTTTCACAGTATATATAATATATAATAATATAATTAAGTCAAAAACTATTCAATATTAGACTCATTTCGAAGGTATTAACGAGACGATTATAATAGTATAACTTGTTAAAATAAAAATGTATTTTTTAAACATGCTTTAATTGATATACGATTAATTATAGAGATATAAAGTGTAAATTTAAAATTATAATTTTAAAAAAATCGGTTGTGGGAGGGTGAGTGTATGTGAGGAGAGGAGGGGGTGAAAAAGTAAAAAAAGTGAGTATAAAGGGTATTTTGGTCATTTAGTATTTTAAGACTTTAAGACTTTTGCTAAATTTGCTTAATAAGATGGTATAGATTAATTCAAAAATAAATAAGGACCCAAATATTTTATAAGAACAGAGCACCGATCTTAACAGATCATACAACAATCTTGATGTGTTTCCATTCTCTAAACTTATCTATGAAAGCAATTTTCTGAAACTTATATATGATACCAATTTGATAGAGGTGGACTAATAGATGCAATTGACTCTTTTCAATTTCTGTAATTAAAATCGTGGTCTCAAAACATCATCATGATAAATCATAAAGTGAAAATTTTTTCGTAGATTTTCGTTGTTTTTCTATTTCTCAATGAGATTGAGTTGTTATAAATGAATTAAAGATGTGTTTACTTGTAGTGAATCAACCCTCCTTTTACTTAAAATTAAAATAGATGGAAAAACCCTATGAATCAACTATCTTTAAGACAAGAACCAATATAGATGATGAAAGTCATCATAAAAACTGATGTACAAATTTACTACTTTTAGGCACCAAAAGCGCATATGGAAAAAAGTTTAGAGAATGTATCATAGAACCAGGTTCTTATTTAAGGAATGGGATATTGTTTTTTTTTTTTTTTGCTTTTTCTGTAATTTCAAGGTTTGTTATAGTATTTTGTTTCTTAATAAGTTTAGATTATAAAATATATTTATTTACTTTTTGTTTCATGTAAGTTTTACAAAAATTCTAATACGCTTTCCGCACTATCAAAAAATTCTTGACATATGTATGTAGTATACGCTTATGGCACTGAACTGATGTTACTTATACTGGGTCTACTTTTCATTGCCACACACACACGCACACACACACACACACACACACACACACACATATATATATATATATATATATATGGGCCTAATAAAATGAGAGCTCTATAATTTGTGATAACCATGAGATCCGATATTTCATAAATAAGCTAAAAAGGGTATCTTAGTCATAAGAATCCCTTCACTCAATTTTCTCATTTGGATAATAATAAATCCCTACAAGTCCTCCCTTTATTCTCTCTATATTTCAGTCGCTTTCCTCCTAGCTCCACTGACCACATTATGTTATCCTCATTTCACAAATCCATCACGGTGATCACAGTGGGTATCACATCATGTATGCAGTGGGTATGAGTAGATATATGTGGGTATATAGAGAGAATGGTCCTAATTAATGTATCACAATGTGTATACAATTGGTATCACAATGGAAAGTTCATGCCAGTCGCCAGAGGAGAGAGGAGAGATAAGATTTATAAAATACCTAAAACGCTCTTTAATTAAAGGTTTAAATCAAAATAACCAAAATTACTAATTACCTACTTTCTCCTTTGATTTGTGGTTGAGATTGGATCTCACGGTTATCGCAAATTAGTGAGTTCTCTCTTATACATATGTATATATGTAGGACGATAATCAAATGAGAACCACAAAATGGTTACAAACCTCTGAGAACCGATATAAAAATATCTTTTTACATTATCTTTTTTGATCATAAGCTATGATTTAACATATTAAATGAAAAATACACAAAAAATATTCTTATGGTGAAACAAATACATGTGAAATTGTCACATTATGAAACAAATATATGTGAAGCAATATCTTGAATCTTAGTATTTGATGAAAAAATATCATGTAAAAATTTATTTTTAATTCAGTTCTCACGTGGTTTGCAACCTTTTTGTGGTTCTCATTTGATTTAACCCCTATATATGTATGTATGTATATATATATCTATGTTATTCATGACAATCCAGAAGAAAACTGTTACACTTCATTTTGTAGGAGTAAGATTTTCAATGATGATGATAACTAAAATAAACTTTATTAAATGTTCAAAGTATTTGAAGTTCTTGATTTTGAAAAGGCAAATACAGCATTGATCATGTCTTGCAAAAATGATCACAAAGTAAGCCAAAAGGCATCCCCTCTTCTCTTTCCTCCTCAATATAGTATGTAGAACAGAAGATTTCAAGAGAAGTCTAACTGAAAGAAAACACCTAATGTGTTGTAACAGAATCGCAGCTGGGAAGCAAATCAAAGCCTTGCATGAAGTTTTTCAGGTTTAAATCCTCACCTATTTACTAAAAGATTTATCCTGAAGAAAAGTTCCTTAATTTAAGCAAACTATTGAATATTAACTAAGTTCACTAGTTAACCGATATTGGTAGTTAACTGAAAAGTTCTCTTTATGAAGTTTGTAAAAGAAACTGATACTAAAAGTTGGCATACAGCAACTAATCAATATGTTAATCTACATTTGGGTATATGGCAATTGCTTGGCAAACAACATATTATACTAATACAAATCTCAGACATCATTTTTAATTTTTGCATTATACTGGGTCGTATTCGCTTTAGAAGAAATAATAAGTAATGAGGTACAGAGATGCTTGCATTAAGTTAATGACATACTTCATTTTGGATCTTCTTACTTCTTTGGTTTTTCTTGGGTAAATGTTAAGTCTGTTAACGTGCTGAAGTTTCTGTTCATTCATGCTGTTAGGCTGATAAAATAGGCTGTATAATCATGTTCAAACTTGCAAATGTTGGCTTTTGTTATATGATTATCTGGTGATCCTATTGATTGATATTCTGTTCCAACCTTGGTGTGGAACTTTGAGATGATGTTGCATATATTTAGCATGTGCATAATTGAACGATGAGGGAGTCGAATGATAGGTCTCTCAAAGTAGAAGACCTGTATGTGTAATTTGTAAATCGATCAATCTTCCAACAAGTCTTTTATAGGACCCGCTATTCACCCCCGGATCACTTGGGGCATCACAAAGAACATGGTTAAACTCAATAGGAGTGCCAACCGGTTTAAAGTCCGTTATTTGTTTCTTGCAACAAGTCATAGCACATACTTTTGTTCGGAGATGGAAATTTTTTGCTTTGGATGTGTTGCTTCAATGCCTAGGAAGTACTTTAATTTTCAAAACTCTTCAAGGGTAAATTCCTTCAAGAGACATTGCTTTAAATTGTTCATTTCCTTTGCATCACTACTTGTTATGATAATGTCATCTAACATAAACCAACAAAGTTGTGACTTTGCCAGAATTAGAGTGCCTTAACTCTCATGAACAAAGTGAGATCTCCTTGATTTTCCTCGTACCCAAGAGTAGTTAATCACTTTAGTAAATTTCCCATACCATGCTCTTGGGGACTGCTTAAGTTCTTAGAGTGCTTTCTTTAACTTGCACACCTTTCCTTTATTCGACTCAAAAGTAGTTGGACCTTCATGTGATTTTTTTTCAAGGTCATCATGAAGGAATCCATTCTTCCCATCAAGCTGTTGCAAGTTCCAGCGAAGGTTAGCTGCCAATGGAAAAAAATACATATGGTATTCATCTTTGCAACAAGAGCAATGGTCTCCAAATGATTGATACCATATGTTTGTGTAAACTCTTTGGCCACCAACCTTGTTTTATATCTTTCTATTGAGCCATGTGCTTGTACTTAATCCATCTGCATCCTACCATTCCTCTTTGGCAACTGAACCAATTCCCAAATTTGTTTCTTTTCTAGGGCGTCCGTTTATACATCTATAGAGTCCTTCCACTTGTCTTTGGAATGGATATGGTATGGAGATTACTCCGGAATGCTCTGTCTTTGAGATAGTTTTTGGTAGGTTATTAGTAGGTGCAATGGAGTTTTTGGTAGGTTATTAGTAGGTGCAATGGATGCTTGGTACAAGTTCTGGTTCCTTTTCTAAGGGCAATTGGTAGGTCTATATGACTTGCTTGTTCAGACTCACCGGGGGGTTGTACAACTTAGGATCCGGTGGTGGTGTAATGCTCGTGCATTTTGGAACAATAGCTTGAACAGGAGACAGTGCGCATAGGTTAAGAGATTGGTCTTTTCTTCCTCGAATAAACTTGTAGTGGAACAACATTATCTGATTCCTTTTTCATACTGGGAGAACTTGGAAATGGTGATTGTGGCGAGTCAATGGGAACAACCTCCATAGCAGAAGGTGAAGAGGAAAATTCATTAGGAAAATCAAGAAGGAACTAGTCTTTTGCTCTTATCTTCACGTAAGTTCTCCCCTTAAAGGTTAGAATTATCAAAGAAAGAGACTGTTTCCACAAAGGTCACGTCATTTAAAGTAAATAATTTCTTTGTAGGTGTAACGATAATGCTCGTGTAACAGTAATGAAAGACTCTGTTTCCACAGCGGTCACAATAATGGTCGTGTAACATCTAGAGGATGTTCATTTTGTTGACCGATGACCCCATTTTGTTGTGGTGTGCGGTTGAGGTTTGGGAGAATCTGATAAATGTTGGAAGTATCTTGGTGTAGTAAAGACTAAAGATCTATTGAGCTATCTATAAAGAATAGTAAGGTGCCACGACTATGTTGATCTATAACAAAATTACCAAGAAGTCTATAATAGCAAGAATCAAGACTATTAGTAATAGTGGAGTATGTTTCCATGTTTAACAAAGAAAAGAACTTATGGTAGTATTATGTTAGTTATATTTTTTTGGGTGTTGTATGAGAATGCGAATGCTCTGAAAGTGCAATTGTACATAGGAATGAGGCCAAATGACAAGTTGATAGACACACCAAGAAAGGATAAAGCAAACTTATTATGCAAGATGCTTGTGCAAAGCATTTACAGTTAAGTCACCGTATTTGATCCCTTAGAATTGATTGTTCTGTATCAAAAAGGAAAAGAGTTGATTGTTGAGTTCTGTAATAGTTTAGTTTATATGAACTTGAATTTCATATGATAAAATAATCCTTCGATAAGTGGAACCGGAATGCCATCATACTTTAGAAGTGGTGACTCTTATTTTGGTTGCAAGAATGACTTTTTTGATCTTTAAGAACTTATCGTATGGGTATGGATATGTGAAGTTTAGGACATGACATACTCCAAAATGAATAGAAAATTTCTTGTAATGAGGAAGTCATCTTTACCATGTAGCCTCAATGTGACATCATTTTTATCTACTTGTGTTGAAATGTGTAATCATACCTTAGGCGATCATTATGAAGGATTTCACCCAGTTATGGATCGAAAGCAATCCAAAGAAATGCAATATGAAGGTTACAAAACAAGGGATGTGGTATTGTGCTAAATAAATTGTTCACAGTTGACAATTCAAGTCAAAGTGCTCATCTGTTATATCTAAACATAATCTCACATGCTACAAAAGCAGTGTAAATGAAGTTAATTTGATGGTTTTGATAAATTATTGTGAAGATGTGTTGATATGAGAACAAGTATACATGGATCATAAAGCTAGTATTTTGTTAATCTTGAATGGTAGTGAAAACATTTTTTTGGTGGATAAGAGGATCTTGCTTCTCTTTCTTTAATCGATCCTCGGGAGCATCAGATACAGTTGCACACTATTTTTTAACGTGGAGGTAAATGTTACGAGAGAAATGGACTTGGATATGTTATAAGGTAGGAAGCTAAATGGAAGCTACATTGACTTTTGAGCTTCTAATGGGTTGGAAAGCATGCTCTCCGGCATGCATTCTGTGTATGTATATGCATGTCATGCAAATATGCAATCCCCACCTCTAATACTTGGTATAAAAGCATGCTGATGTTAAATGCTAATAAACTATAAAGAGAAAACCTTGGATATATGGGCAAGTACAGTGGTGTCATCAACAGGAATTGCGAGATACATATAATTATGCATACATATATCTACATCAGCTGGAAGATACATACTATCCGTGTTAAATATAATATCTATATGAGGTAGTGATTGTTAGGATGTGAACATACTATAACCATTAGGCCTTGGCCTAGTGGCCACCTCTCTTCCGCAAACGCCTTGCCCTGAGTTGATTGCCCACCCAGGTTCAATTCCAGGGGAGGACAGGATGTCTTTTCCGGTGCTTGCCTATAGAGGTAGGGCAGGTAGGGTTCACAAATGTGGACCACGGGGCCATGAGGTCCCCGCCATTAAACCTTTTTTTTTTTTTATATTGATGGTGATATAATTTTCCTTTCACTTAAGTCGCCTAACAAGAAAAGTCCTGGTTATAATATATTTGGTGGTTGATAAAGCCTAGGGAGGTGTTTGAGTGTTGACACAGGGTTAGGCTCATTTAAATCGCCTATCACCTAAGCATCGATGTGTCATGCCATGGACACGATATTGCGATGCATGACCTTGACATGGTGATGAATAGGGTTCTTAAATGAGCCGTGTCGTTCGAGTTGCAAGGTTATTCGTGCTCGGCTCGAAAAAATATTACCAGGGTTGAGCTCAAATAACTTTTTCCCAGTAGGGCTCAAATATATTTTAATAGCTGATCACCTAAGCATTGAATAATTTTACTTCTATTTCATAGAATGTGGGCTTTTTGCCTGAAAAAAAAATTGTTGTTATTGTAGCATGGATGGCTGTCCATTTGGGGAGAACTGTCACTTTCTTCATTACTTTCCTGGAGGTTATAACGCCGTTGCGCAGGTGATGAATCTCCTGCCGGCTTCAGCCGTAAGGACTCCTTCAGCTCCATCAAGCATACAAAACAGCTCCGCAACACCAGCCACAAAATCCAAGATGTGCACTAAATACAACACTGCTGAAGGCTGTAAATTTGGCGACAAGTGCCACTTTGCCCATGGTGCATGGGAACTCGGGAAACCTATTGTCTCCTCACAAGAGCCTATCCCCAGCTGCTTCGGAAACCACATTGAGCCACCACCACGACCAGCGCCAGGTGTTGCCGCGAGCTTTGGTGCATCAGCCACCGCCAAAATCAGCGTGGACGCATCCCTTGCAGGTGCTATTATCGGAAAAGGTGGTGTGAACTCCAAGCAGATCTGCAGACAGACGGGAGTGAAACTTGCAATCCGAGATCATGAGAGTGATGCTAATCTGAGGAACATTGAGCTGGAGGGGACTTTTGAACAGATCAAAGAAGCAAGTGGTATGGTTAGAGAACTGATAGTGAGTGTGAGTTCAACAACAACAGCAGGAGCACGTGTGAGACCAGCAGCAGCCAGTGGTCCACCGATGAGCAACTACAAGACCAAATTATGCGAGAATTTTGCAAAGGGGTGTTGCACTTTTGGCGAAAGGTGCCATTTTGCACATGGGAATGGCGAGCTTCGGAAAAGTGGTGTAATGTGAAATGAAAATGAATGTTTCAATTGGATGTGAGCTTTTGATATAATTTGTATGGGTGGTGTGGTGGTTAAAGTAGAGAAAAAGAGATTTTAACTTGTTATTACATTAAATTAGTATTCATTTCGTGGGTGTTCACTAATGGAAAAAGCAAATGGTGGTATTATATTATTTAATCATCATTTACTGGGTAATGGTCTCTACCTTAATGTGTTATTTTGTAAACCAATTATCTAATATATTATGTATCAACAAAACAATGGGAGGAGATATTTTTCATATAAACATAAACATAAAAGCTACTGCTATTTAGTTCAAAAACACAAAAGGAATTTATTCTTTCTGGTTTATAAAGGAAAAATTGTACCAAAATGGAATCAATTTTCATCTTATTCTTATTTTTGGGAATTAACTTTCAAAATCATCATTTATGAGTCTCTATCAAACTTTTTGTTGACCTCTTAATGTTGATTTCATCCAAATCTTTTGTCAAATAAGATATTACACGTCTTATTAATTTTTTATTTTAAAACTGATATTTCACGTCATATTTTAAAATTGTAAAATAGTTATAGAAAAATATCTAAAATTTGTTTTTTTTCAAAAATTAATATAATAAAATCTATTTTTCATTTTAAATCTCGTTTTTTAAATAAAAAAAAATTCAAATATCAAATTGAAGATTTTATTTAAAAAAAAGGGTCCAAACTACCAAAATTAAATTTGTTTTTTACTAATGCAATAAAAAAATAATTTAATAGAAAAAATTAATTGATGTAATAAAAAATAAATATTAAATATCAAATTCAAGATTTTTATATCCAACCAATTCGTATCAATTTTTTAAGTTTAAATTAAATTTGACAAATTAAACCAAAATAAAAGTTTGTTCACAACGTTCAAATCATCAAAATTAGAATAAAGTCGATGACAAGACATTGTTACAAAAAAAATGGTTGAAAATCTTCAATCTTTGACTGCTTGAATCATCCTTATCAAAGTTAACCATCAACCGTAAATTATGGAACTGATCGAACTTCATTAGGAATTTGTACATCACCTATATCAACTTGCCATATGTAAACATTTGCAAGTTAGTGCAAATATGTAAGTTATATGCAAATGTACAAACAAAATTTGATTATACATATTGAAAATACCTTCCCGAGCAATAATTGGTATACTCGTCTCAAAACTAACCTGTGAAATCTGCAAAATAAACATACTTTTAGCTACAATATTTGATTCATTTAAACACAATGTGAATCACAATTATTATATTTACTCCTATAATTGTAACCCATGAACTCATACCTCTTGAACCCCTTCCTCTTATATTGCTTCCAATAACTAAATCCTCCTCTTCTATGTTGTTTTTTCTCGGTCTACCCAACTGGATTTTTGGCCGAATAGGTGCATATTTCTTTTTATTTTTACAACTCCTAGAATTAAGTCCTACCTCCAAACAACGTGTTGTCTTAGACTTTAATACCTATGTGACTTACATCAAAATATTTCAAATATGCAGCTTTACCTCCATAATAGAATGGATTTGTTTGAAACATGCCCACCATGATTTATAGTCAAATTGATCTTCATATTGGTTCTCTTCAAACCCGAAATAAACTTTTTGAAAATCTCAATATGAAAATAATGATAGCAACATTACAACAAAATTGGGTTTATAGGAAAATGTTCATCCATTATGTCAAATCCCAGTTACAAGAGATGAAAACCCCATTGCAAAAGCTCTCAAGATACAGGAAAAAGAAAACAAAGAGGAATTTTGGCAGAAAAATCAAGGTAATTGTCTATCAGAATAGTCTTTTTCCATAAAATGAATGTGCATATGACTTGGGTTTTTCGGTTCTTCATCTCACTGTTAATATGTGCTAGACTGATATCATCATTTGAAGTCTTGTTGTATGCTCTTTAGAGTGTTTGACATGATTATTTCTAGAATAGTCGGTATTTCTATGATGATGAATGCACCGAGTAGTTACTTAACATGATTCTGGTGGCGGTAGATAATAATATGAGGCTCATTACCAATTGAAATGATAAGGAGCAGAGGGATTTTCACTCCTCTTCACAGAGCCCTGTACATATGAAGTAAGCTTATAAGTGCCACTTTTATTGTACCAGCTCCATAATTATTTCTTACAAAATTCCATTGATTCAAACCTCAAGGTTACTTACTAGGGTAGGACTGGATTCATTAGTGCTAAAGATCTCTCTGTTAGTTGCTGCTCACATGAAGCTCAGGTCCAAAGAAGTTCACAAGTGCCTAGAAGCCTAATCTGAGTCTGGAACTGACTAAAAACAAACCATGCCTGCATTCATCCTGGTTCGAACGGTCAAAAAGGACAGGTCCAAAGCAGTCTTTGACACTCAAAAGCGAACGTTTTTCATTCACAACTTGCATATAATATGCTCTATAATATCATAAGTTGTAACTTATTGACATAATTTAAAATGTATGCTACTTTTCCATAATATCAAGTTTTTTATGTTCTTTTTTTGCCTTTGGCACAGATTAGAATGAGGGATGAACGGTCATATTGTGTTTCTTCCTACAGATCTGTGGGGCAATTCTTTACTAGTGGTATCAAAATTGAATGAACAAGTTGCCTGAATTCCATCGAATTAATATTCTCCATTAGTGCCAAGTCAATAGCTTCAATATCTGTGCATTTGAAAAATGTATCTCCAACTGTTGTTGACAGCCCCAATACATTATACCTAGTGACTGAAGGAAAAAAAAGTTTCATTGTGGGTTGTTCCCGTGAGTAATTTTTACATCATTTGTTTCAATGTTTGTTTACAAAACACAAAAACAGTCTCTGCTCCTTGGGGTAGAGGCAATGTTTGTTTTACAGATAGATGATGATAGATACATCTTACCCTTCCCATAAGGAATAAAAAATCGCAGATAGATGATGAATGGATGCCTGATCAAAGATCGTTGGAGAGGGCAGCGGTTGTCGGATGAGAAATGTGAGCGACGGCGACGGAAGGTTACGGTGGCAGAAGACGACCGCGACAAAAGACGTCGACAGCAGAAGACGCCGACGACAGTAGGCGAGAGGGAGGGCTACGGTTGCAACCGAGGGAGGGAGAAGAGGTAGGAGGTGTTTTGGAAGTGCACGATTAAGTTTCCTAATTTTAATGTTTTAATGATAATGATGATTTGGTAAAATAATTTCCACGTAATATTAATTTTGATTTTGATTTGTTTTAATAATAATAACGATTTGGTAAAATAATTTCCACATAATATTTGTTTGTTTAAATAATTTGCGGTCAAGTCGTATTAAATTACATGTTACCTGTTCTGAACAGCTTAATCAGTCTCTTAAATAAATAAGAAGCTCAATAGAGACTCTTAAATGACGATTTTAAATGTTAATATTGATTTTTTAAAATAAGATGAAAGTTGGTTCTATTTTAATTAAATTACATGTTACCTGTYCTGAACAGCTTAATCAGTCTCTTAAATAAATAAGAAGCTCAATAGAGACTCTTAAATGACGATTTTAAATGTTAATATTGATTTTTTAAAATAAGATGAAAGTTGGTTCTATTTTAATGCAAGGTAGAATGATTTTTTTTTTTTTAGATAAAAGACAGGGTGCTGCGCTTCTTTTCATGTCCTATTCAATTAATGGAAACTCCAAACTTCATGCTTCGTATTATGTCCTTTCCCTTCTAAATTTGCATTACTACATTCAAGTACTAAACATTCAGATGAACTTCAATAATTAGGCTTCAAATAATTAAGTTTCCTTTAAACTTTTATTATTTACTTCAAAAAAAACCAAACATTACGTAGCCTAAATTCATTACATCTTTTTTCAACCAAGTGAATTATAGACCTACCAAGATTCTCGAGACAACATTGACACTCAAAAACGCAACTTATAACTTAACTTGAAATCATAAAGACCCAAAACTACAATAAAAAGCCTAATCCACACCCATCAACGGTAAGCCCCGCCGGTGCCATAACCACCGGCACCACCACCTATTTTTGGGTTATGTCCCGCCAAAGTGGTACCGGTGCCGGTAGCAGTTCCAATCGGATGAGATCCAACCACCCCTTCCTCTACATGTCCAGCTGGCTCTCCCGTTCCATGTCCCGGCAACGCTGACATCTGGTGACCTCCCGTTGGATAACCAGTGGCTCCGGTGGTGGAGTAGGAGTGCGTCCCCGTCCCCGTCCCAGTCCCGGTGGTGGCTTCTGTCGCCTGTCTCTGTACGGCGTTTTGATCACGCGCCACCTGCTTCTCATACTCGGCCTGATTCTTCCTCGCCTCCTTCTTCTCCGTCGCCATTTCCTTCTGCATCGGATCGTGTGCAGTCATTCTTTCACCCTATTTTCCCAAAACACCAATTTGATTTTAGTAATAGTATGAATCGTATAAAGTCAAAGCAAAACTGAATCACTGAAACCTTCTCTTGCATGGTGGCTTTGGTCTTATCCATGCCGGCTTTGGCGGAGGCGGCCATGTTCGCCGCCGACTCCTTGACGGACGCCGCTGCATTCTTGGCTGATTGCATTCTGATATTTCTGTTGTCTGAATAAAACGATATGATGTTCGAAAGAGAGCAGGCTACGAAGGCTTTAAATAGATTCGGTAAGGGTGTTGTGGGCTTGTGACACGTAGCACAACAATGATACGTGGCTTATAAAGAATCGCGTACATATTATTTTGACACTTTGTAGACACGTAGAAATGATTTATACTAATTAATTAATTTTGTAATCTTTATCCATGACTAATTTTTAAAACCAATTTCATATATATGAACCAACCAGAAAGCATTGACTTGTAGCTCTGCTTTACATTATGGTAGAATATATACGGTTGAGTTTTGGTTAAACGGAAGTTAATGATAAGAACAGTAAGAAGTGGTATTTATTTTTTAATCAATTTTAATTGAATGTTAATATTAATGAAATACATTAACATATATCGGATCAAATTTTTAGAGCATAATTCATGGACGAGCATGAAATTAAAAGTATTCAAAGAGTTTAGATCCATTCTAATATTTCTCACCGTAACTCTCCTTCTCACACGATTATTTATACACACATATAGAGAGAGATAGATGGAGGGAGGGGGGAAGTTCAATTATAAACTCAATTTTCATTGTAAACATGAGAACTAATATCAACCCTCCATTTTATTTGATCCAACAACTCATATTAAATATAGTTTTTCATTAAAATTATTAATTAAGTTGATTCGGGGTTAAAAAGTAACATTTAATTTCAATCTATGCTTATCTTTTTTGACTTTTTCAATTTTTTACCTCCTTAAAAGTTTAAAATAAATTATCTTAAAAATTACTAATATAAACAAATTACATCTAAAAACAAGAATTTCATGTCCTTCGATATGATATATCGATATTTTTTTTGTTTTAACCATTTTCTACGTGAAATGATATGTATGTGTTATATTCATTACGAATATTTATATACGTTCAAGTGAGTACAACAACTTGACACCGTAAGTCCGTAACTCGACGTCAACTTATTCAACACTTTGTTCAACGTCCTAAGACACCACTTTCTTCATCACCGTAACCCAATACCCATTGAGACTGAGCGAGAACCTATTGAGACTGATCGAGAATGGTCGAGAATCCATTCATCAACTTGGTATTTGTTTATAATGTTAAACCATAACCTACCACCTTTATTTTCCATTGAGAACCTATCAATTGATTTATTATTTGTTTATGTAAAACCATAGACTATCACTTTCAATTTTTATCGAGAAGGATTGGGAACCAATGGAGACCAACCAAAAAAAAAAAGATCGACCAACACCCTATTGGGACATATCGACACCAATCGAGACTAATCAAGAACCCATTCACTGACTTGGTGTGTGTTTGTTTGTGTAAAACCATAGGAATTGCAGGGGAAAGAAGACGATAAAGTAAGGGAGGAAAGAAATTAGGCAGATTTGAAGGAAGGTGGATGAGGGTTATTGCACGGGAAGTGAGTGTTGTAGGTTATAAGCTTTGATACTTGTACAAGAAGCATAAATTAATACTTTTTGAAAATTCTAGCGGGGAGGAGAGTAGTTGGACTTGCAGAAAGAAGCTTTAAACTGTGTACATCAAGCTTGATAGGTGGTACCTATTAAAAAGTTCAAGATAATCGTAAATGCCGTTTTATAAAGAAGTATAGATTGTAGTAATTTTAGTTTTATGTTTTTCTCACACGTTCATCCTAAAACCCGACCTTATGGAATCAATTCTTGCATCGTAACTAGAGATGGCCAAAAATCAGTCCTGGGAGGGAACCAAATCGGTCCCGCCCCTTGATTTGTTGTTCATAACCGGTCCCGACCAAAAATCCATGACCAGATCTCCATGGTTTGTAATCGGTCATTCTTGATCAGAAAAGCGATGCTTTAATGTTGTCCACAATGGCTTCAGGACTAAGCGATGCATCAACTGTAAATATCCCTTCAGAGGCATCAATCTGAAGCAGATCTAATTGGGATTGCAGAAGTTGAGGCGGCATGAAATGCTTCCCTTCTGCTGCTCTTTTCTTCACCCGATCCATAAGCACCTTCACCCCTACCTCCAATAGAACAAACTTAACAGCACATATGTGGCCTCGACTACCTTCATAATTTGGGTCAGCAGATCTAAGAATGTCCCTGTAGTGCTTTTGGAGGGCAGAACACCCGAGAATTACAGTCTTGCCGCTGACAAAGCTTGCATTCACAATACTCCGAAGCCTTTCAAGCCATGGGATTCGATCTTCATCGGACAAAGGGATCCCGTTCTTCATCTTTTCTGTTTTATCAGATATATCACTATACTCACAAATAATCATTGATCATTATAGAAACAAGAAAATTGCAACGAAAACACCAATAAAAACATCATAATAGTAATAAATTAGTACTATTATATTGTTTTCATTCCAATCACGTACCAAAAATATCGCTACAAAAAAATATCGCACAAATTTTTACAATATGGTGAATAGCATCCCACAAGATTTGGTGACACCAGGTCATTGGTAGTAGAAGCCAGCCTCCCAAGGGGTCAAGTGCAACATCTCAAGCCAGCCGTACCTAGAGATGGCCAAATGGGCCCGGCCCGGCCCGCCGGAGGACCGGTTATGGGACCGAAAACCGGGACTGGTTGAGGTTTTTGGTAGTTTCGTGGGACCGGGACCGGTTATGGGACCGACTATGGACCGGCCCGGCCCGAAAATTCAATTAATTTTATAAATAAATGTATTTTTAAATAATTTTATAATGTATTTTTATAAGAAAACGTAATTTTAATTATATTAAAACGCATTTTTAAAGTGTATTTGAGTGACCCAATTGTAAATTTTATAATGTATTTTTATAAGAAAACGTAATTTTAATTATATTAAAACGCATTTTTAAAGTGTATTTGAGTGACCCAATTGTAAATTTTATAATGTATTAAAAATATATATCATTAAAAAAATAAAATAAAAAATCTTATTTTTTCAATGAAGGACCGGTTGGGACCGGTTGGGACCGGGACCGGGACCGGCGGCCCATAACCGGTTATAAAGTACCTATACCGGTCCTATCATTTTTGACCGGGACCGAGACCGGGACCGGGACCCGTTATGGCCGGTTATGAGAATGGTGAGGACCGATTGGGACTGGCCCGGGACCGGCCCGGGACCGGTTTTTGGCCATCTCTAGCCATACCAGATATTGTCCGCTTTGCCCACACATATGGACTCACTGTTTTATAACGAGTCTGATAGAGGAGGTTTCCAGTTCCTTATAAAGCAACCATAGTTTCCCTCCGGATCTTACAATCCACCCCCCTTGGGAGTTGGGACGCTGGCAAACCAGTCTAGTTCCCGGCTCTAACACCATCTGTAACATCCCAGACCAACCATACCAGATATTGTCCACTTTGCCCACACACATGGACTCACGGTTTTAGAACGTGTCTGATAGAGAAGGTATCGAGTTCCTTATAAGGCAACCTTCGTTCCCCTCCCCAACCGATGTGGGATCTTATATCAAGGGTTTAAGTCTCACCAAAAATGAGAAGTGTGTGTGAGCAAAAGCGGACCTAGAAATTTTTCCAAGTGGTAGCACCATTTGACTATAAGAAACGAAGATATAAATATTTTTCACAAAAATCAACAGTAGTCTGTTGGTTAGTTCCTACTTTTCGTAGATGGGGGGGTGGGGGTCCTATATTCGAATCTTTTATTGCAATTTTTTTTCAGAAACATAATAAGTCTGAAATTAATAGCTAAAAACTAAGAAAGCGGAACAAACAGAATTCAAACATGTGCCTAGGTTGGGAGAAATGTCAACCAACTCGGGGAAGTTGTGTTATCATTATAGATTTATAGTTGCAAAATATATATTGTGACATACAACAAGATGATATGGTGACACATTTCATGACCCTAATTTTTTACACTGCGACAGAAGAACAAAGTGGTGGCCCATACCACCGTATGCAAGACTGGGTCTGCCCCTGTGTGTAAATTCTGCCATACATAAAATATGACATGCTTCAAAAAGAAATTGGTGATTCACGATTCATTAACACAAAAATATTTTGTGTTATACCGTTTAGTTGGAGGCAGAACACAAGTCTTTTTTTGGTGTTATGCTGTTCAGGCGGAAATGGTCATTTTAATTTCACACAAAACATCATTCCATGTCTTAAAACATCATTTGACGCACCTTTCATGCAATGGTTGCTAAAATTTTGCAACCTTTATGATTTGATCAGAAGAATTATTGAAATGTGGTACATAGAAGATTACTGTTTCTTTACCTTTGTTTGACTGTGGATGAAAATCATCAGCATCAACATAGCTACAGTTTAGAGCTTTCCCAAGCATTTCTCCTACAGTTCTAAATAAACAATGAAAATTAAGAGCTTTCACAAATAATTTCGAGCAAAGTATACGGACATGAAAAGTTTTGAATTTTTTGAATGCCCGTTTCATTTTAGATGCTACAATGTAATGAAGTTATTGGTAGCAATATAATCGTAGAAAAGCAGCATTACGACATGAGATATCAACTCTGCTTTTGGTGCGAAAAATCGAATGCCTTTACTTAACAGAAACATACACTCGTACCAACATCATAAATAGATTTCTAAAATCAGTAATATGATGATGAAGATGAAACTCACGATTTCCCGGCACCACTCACACCCATTATTACAACAGCGATCCCTGCGAAACAGAAATATTAACTGAAGAAACAAAATCACTCATTGTGTTAGATGGTGAACAGACAAGATTAGGGAGAAAACCTTGGTGATTGGAACCCATAAGAGCAGCTTAATTACAAACAAATTATATTCCTGATCACACAGCCAGGAAAAGTTGGTAAGGCAATAGAACAATAAAAATGCAAATAATTTTAACAGCAATTTATTCATGAAAAGGATATCATTCAAACACAAAAACAAGGATAAGGATCCAATTATTTTCTGCAAAAGGAAACTAATTCTGATAATAGGTATGAAATCCACATGAAAAATACTATGCTACTGTTCTACCTTTCTTCAGTGATCTATATTATTTTAACCCAAAAAAAGTTACAAAAATTCTATGATTTACCGAATTGGAGAAAGAAAACCTGTTATCAAAGTTTCCTTGAAGCAACTAGAGAAATTTACCGAATTGGAGAAAGAAACCTAAAGTGAAAATTCATCAAACAATAACAATATATACCAATTCGCAATGAAATTAATCAGATCATGAAAGAAATAAACTCATCAAACAACAAATTAGTGGTGGAGAACAACTAACACACTTTGATTGCAAGACAGACGATGAGAGACCATCCAAAACACAATTGAAAGAGAAGTCTTACCAAAATAATGGAGAACTACAAAAATGAGCGATCGATGAATCCGGTTACAGTGATCGGAGAATGTGCGACCGTCGACTACCCTCAACGGCCGACCAAATTGGCAACATAAATTCAGCACCTCCAACCCAACATGTTAAGCTTTCTGGAAAACCCAAAAAACCTTCTTTTCCATAAGCTTGTTTTTATTTATTTATTGCGAGTTCAACTTTTAAAAGTCTTTATAGAAAAAGTCAAAATATAAATAATCGACGTGGGCCCAATAAATTAATTCAACACACTAAACATATTTTCCTTAATTTTCTCTTATTTTTGAATTAAAATTCAAACACATTTTCCATATACGTAGGTATTTTGAACTCAAGCTTCATTGAAATTTAAAATAAAAAATAAAATCAACTAAAATATGAGTTTCTGTGAAACCCCCTTTTGAAATATACAATTGATTTGAGTTTCTGGAGATGTATTATATGTTTTAATCGATACATTACAAAACAAGTTTAGTTTGTGAAAAACAGTTTAAAAATAAATGATTTTTATGCTTCGTGGGTGATTACCAACGGATTTGGGTTATTTGTCGGTGATCAGCGATGGATCATTGACCGCTCTTTTCGCTTTTTTTAGCACTCTACAATAAAATCGGATTTATAGGAAGCCATAAATCTCTAAGTGTATTTAATAACCTATTTTATAGGACTTAATTTTATATGACCAAATAGATACGTGTCATATGTAAGAGGATTGCAATAGGTTTATATGACACATTTGGATGTCCTAGATAACTTATTAAGACGTTTTTGAAGTAAAGTGTCATATTAAGAACTTTATGCAACATTACGTAAAAAATGTCCTATTAACAAAAGCGTCCTAATAGAAGATTTGTTTATAACACACTTCTCAAAAGTATGCAATAAAAAAAAACTAATATGACATTTTATTTTAAAAGTGTCCTAAAACATTATTTAAGAAGCTCAAAAGCATTTTATAAATCTATTGCAATCCTCTTATATAGGATGCATATCTGTTTGGTGCATATTTTTGAAGTATCTAGAGTTTAAAATAATAATGAAATGGCTGTCGAAATTGATATATACTATAACTACATCTTATAAATCATGGTCTATCATTAAAAAGCTCAATTACGAGGAGGTAACTGATATCTGGTGGATAAAATAATTAATAAAGTTTCATTAAATATGAACAATAAAAACAAAAAGTCATAGTGATCAACCATTTTGAGCGTCTTGTTGTCTAAAGAAATGCGTTGATAAAAGACATATGTATAGAACTTTATGCATTGCCATTACATCTTGTGATACCAATATACGCCTTGGTGCTCGTTTCCTACATTTGGCTCGATATATATGCATTCCATAGCCTCTCTCCACATGGCTTTGATGATGGGTGTCCTGTCAATCTTATAATGCTCACCCACGACTGGTTTGATGGCATCCCTTGCCTCCTTTGCATGATATGTGGAATGTAGGAGATCAAATGGTGCAAGACATGAGTGTGTGTGACGTGATGGAAAACCCTATTCAGGAATCCGAAATCTCTGTCGATGGTAGACAAGGCTCCCTTGATCCAATCCGACTCAGTTGAATCGTAGTGAGGCATGGAGAGATGAGTGTGGTGAAGATAAGTGAATAAAACGAAAAATGCATTTATAGCAAGCACAGGAACTCCGTATATGCACATCACCCATGCAGCTCCATTAGCCAATACAGCTTGACGAACTGCATATGCGACTGCAATCAGTCCTAAATCAGAAAGCAAGACTTGTTCACGCTCGCGCTCGGTGAAAATTGGACTCATTGGATCGAAGTGATTGACAAATCATTCGTACTTCTTGCCATAAACATTGGTTAACAGGTATAACGGAAATTCCACAATCAACCTGAAGGCCAAAGTGAACACTCGATCGGGTGGGTTGTTAAGGATTTTGGAATAAACCTTGACCTTTGATTTAAGTTTGGAGATGTAAACTTCATCATTATCAAGAGAATTAGGGTTGGCATGGTGATTACGATGACTGTATTTTCAAGAGAAGTACGGGATGAAGAGTGCAGAGTGAAGAATAAAGCCGACAATGTCATCAATCCATTGGTGTTCTTTAATATTATTGTTTCTATATCAAAAATATTTTGATAGATTATTCTACAGGATTACAGTATATAAGACTTAATATTTATTTGTCTTATCTAAAAATGTTGTAATAAATTTATACAAACACTTTTGATGACACTTTTAATTAAGAAGTTTCCTCCTATACATATCTTTTTATTGAACACTTGTATTATTTGACCTTTTTTAAATAATGTCCTATAAAAGCTATTTGGACTTTTTTTTTTCTTCCAAAAGTGCTCTTGAAAGTTTTTTAAGACACCAAAAAACGTTATAAATATATTATATATACATATACTTATTACAACAATTTTAGATAGGGTACACAAATATTTGATCCTATAAATTAAGTCATATAAAGAAATATTACAACATTTGGATATTTTTAGTGTTTTATAAACTCAATTATGATTTATTTCTAAGTTACAATTAATTGAGATATTTATTATGTATTTATCTAAAAGATGAGCATTATTTTTATCATTCTCTTGCTGCTTTGACAATGAAACTAAAATAAAACCGAAAATATCCCAATTCATTATAGAAAAATTAAATGTCATAGAATTTCTTAGAAATTACGAGAGATTTATTTTGAAGACTTCAATTCCATCATATTTTAGATTTTCTATTTTGAACACAAACTTTGACTTGAAAATTCCAACTCAATTATAAAGTTGCCAGTGTGGATAAGCACCGGTGAATACAGGGTTTCTCTCTTGTGGATAGATTTTTAAAGATAATCGAAAGCATGTAAAGTCGTACAGATATATTTTTAGCCGAATATCAATGTTTTGAGAATTTTTTTAAAAAGTTTTTTTGATTGATTTTGATGGATTTTCTTTTTCGATTGTTTGATTGATGTCCCGTGTAATATCTCAGAGCGTTCCTCAAAATTTAATGTTAACATCTTTCACGCTCCAAAAAATTTATACGTACAAAAATTGGTTAAATGGATGTACAACACCCGTCCAAATAAGTTATTTTGGGAATCAAAATACGATGGAAATTAATGAGTAGCCGTTTTCAAAGTTCCCTTTAAAGTCCTAAAAATGGAATTAGCAAGTTTTTGATATTTAGTTCGTAGAAGTTATTTTCAATAATAGGTTACAAAAAATTGGCAAAAATATTGAGTTCAGATGCTAGAAAATGATTTTTTTGTGATGCTGTGATAAATATATTTGACCATTATATACATGCGAATAATCGTGTGAGGAGAGAAGGGATTTGAACTTTTGATCACCTTTAATCTCAAACTCACCCATAAATAATGTTTGATACGAGGATTGATCTGGTGCATCTCAAGCTAATGTGCATCCAAAGATGAAGATCTATTATTACGCTTCTCATCTTAACTCTTTTTCTCACAAGAATCCAATCTTATATATATGTTTTTATATATCTGTGTGTGTGTATAGGGAGAGATTTATTTGAGAAATGTTAAATGTGTGAGACATAGAGAAGCGGTCAACATTTTGACTGTGAAGCACCAGATAATTTGGTCGCATTTGGTATGTGGAAGATAGAGGGACAGTTTCGTAACTTTTACAAATAGGCGGAAAACAAGCGCATATGTTAACCCGTGTAATTCACATATGAACTATTTGTGCATATGTAAATTCGTGTGATTCATATATGAACCGATGTGATTCACATATGAACTATTTAACTGATTCACATATGAACCCGTGTGATTAGTTATGATTCACATATCTAATTAACTGATTCACATATGAACTATTTAACCAATTACACGGATAATTTCTAATATCCCTTGTAATTTCTAATACCCAGGTATAGTCCCAAAGTTTACGTTAGCAATTTTCATAATAGGTTACAAAAATTTGGCAAAAATGTTGAGTTCAGATGTTAGAAAATGTACTTTTTTTGATCCTGTGGTAAATATTTTTGGGAACTCTTTTCCTTAAATAGCCAGATTTTTTGCATAAATTTTATTTTAAGGCAAAACAAAAAGAAAAATAATTTAACAATTAACTTTATGCAAAAAATGAGGAGTTTACAGAAAAAAGGGGGGAGGGGAACTCTATGCATAAAATATTTTTTCTGCATAAACTTTCTAATTCATTAAAAAAAAACTTACACATTTACAATTAGTTATTTAATTTAATTTATTATATTAAAACACAAATATATATTAACTAAAATACGTTTTTTTACCAATTACACTATTACAATCGTCTTGTCAATACGTTTAAAATGAGCATAATATTGAATATCTTTTTGTTTTAATTATATTATTAAATATCATAAACAAGTACAAACTATTTTTAAAACCTACACTTTTTACCCTTAGGGTTTTTTTATTTAATTTGCAGCTATATGAATATAAAATGTAAGTAATTAAAATAATTCATAGGTATTAATAATATAAGATTAATTCTAAAAACATTCAATATTGAGTTCATTTTTACAACATATTAATGAGATAATTATAATGACTGAATCCGATAAATGATTTATTTTATATATCTTTAATATCAAATTACCTTATATTAGTGAATTTCTAGATTAAACAGGACCCAAGTGAGTGTAACATGTATTTCTTTTTATGATAGCAAACAAGCAAACCATTTACAATTTATGGTTTGGGTTTCATGATGGTATAAAGAAGGAACATGGATCTAAGCATGGGTTGCCAAACCAAGGCCCATTTGGGTGAAACTAAAACCCAGAATCAGAAGAAAAAAAAAAGGAGGAACCGTCGCCTGATTCGAGAGGGAAGCAACAGGTCGGCGTGTTCGAGCGAGGGAGAAGGGAGCAGGTCGGTTTGATCGAGAGAGAGGCAACAAGTCCGATCGATTGGAAGGATTTTTCTCACCAATCTCTCGTTATAATCTTTCGGTAAATCCTTGAAACATTTTGAATCGGTAACCTAGTTTAGCTATATGTAGCTAATTTCTTTATTCCAACATTCGTTAACTTTAGATTTTTGATTTTTTTTCGCTTTGAGATGTCGTTGTAATGATTTGGGACAAGTTTATTTGTTTGATTTCTAAGTTAATCGTTAATTTCATTTGAATGTTAAGTAAATTGGCCGATTAGTTAATAG